ATGCAAGTGTTATGTGAGATTGAGCTGTTCATGTGAAGCATGTTGAGTGAAGCAATATTCAGCGTGACACAATGAACAGCGAGATCAAGTGAAGCAATCGTGCAGCGTGCATGCAGTTCACTTATAAACATATCAGCATGTGTTCAGTCATTGCTTACAGCATTGCAATAACACTGCATTTGATGATTCGAGTGAGATGATGGATGCTTTTAAGCGAAGTTTATTTCAGCTTTGAATACTTTTGGATGTCACAGGGATACGAACTGAAGAGTAGACTGGCAAAAATTGAACGTTGTTGGCCGTATTTCATCGGGTTCGGAACACCGCTCACTCTTCTGACCACTACGTCGACGAATTTCATCGTGAACGGATGCCTGTTCGGAATGTTCTTCCCGTTCTTCATAATCAGCAGTTATCTGGTTAGTGTTATGTGCATGTTTTGTTGATTGGGTGACTGGGGTGAGTGTTATGGCACTTCAGTGATGATTTATCAGTTGCCTTTCTGAATTGAATCAATTCAGTTGATGAGAGAAACGGTCTGAGAAGTTGTGGAATGCATTCTGGGAAGTGGGAATTCTTATTGTTGTTGAGAAATGTTATTGTAGTGTATGAATTGAAGGCGGATATAAAGAACATTCGAAGTGAGCGATATGCATCCGAGGTGCCGAGTGTGCACATATTCTGGCCATCGCTGATCGTGACGAATCGCATCTCGAAGTACATCTCGGATATGGCATCGCTCAAGTGCAGAAGGTCACTCGTCGCATCGTCATCCTCGACCAGCAAGCACACACCTCAGAAAAGATCAACGTCCACTCAGCCCGATACACCTCATCGTCACGTATCGAAATCAGCCGTTGCAGTGCAGAGAGCACCCGCTGGCTATGATTCTGTGTCAGCTCTATCCTCCAGGACAAGAACACTCTCGTCGGGCATAAGCAAATAGAGCTTAGAGGAATATTATGGGTCGCTAACGTGCTGGTCTTTTGGGTTCTTTCGAGTAGGATCATTCGCATGACTTTAATGCATTGTTTCATGTGATATCTTCGAACGTCTTTACTATGAATTAGAAGAATGGTGTTTTTATTTGTGTATTTGTTGGTGTAATTTGTAAGTTCTAAACGGTATGTTCAAATGAACAGTCAAAAATATGTATTTTACTGATTTCATCGTACCAAGTCTCAGTTGTTTCTTGGTCTGATGCAGTGCTATGTCATATTATGACTTGTAAATAATTTTGTTGGATAGTTGCTGGAAGCTTTCCTCCTCATGTATAAGGCGCATGACGGTAATAAGTGAAGCAAAACGGTAAGGTTGTGTTGTTGTTGACGACCGTAATATTTCTTTTTGCTTTGATATTTTACTTTATTGTAATATTATGTCAACGAGACAGCCTTACTGAATCGATTCAGTTTTGTTTGATGTAATGTCAGATGTGTGTATGTATGTGCAAGCAGCACGAAATTCGACTGCGGTGCAGCGGGTTGGTTTTGATTCATTGCTTTTATTCATTTGGTTGAATTCAACGCTTTTAAGTTGTTCTTGTTTCTGTGCGTACCTCAACATTTTCCAATTAATTGTGTGTTCTCCCTCCCTTCCTTCCTTAATTTCTTCATTGTTTCATTATTTAACATTTAAAG